TATATATTTTACGACTTAAAGATTAAATACTTATTGTGGACCGACACTAATTGGTCAATTTCTTAAAGCTTAAATCACCTATTGTGGACCGACACTTAAACAAACCTTAAATAAATGATTAATTTCAAAACAGAAAAAGACAGAATTCTTTTTTACTATTCAGTGCTACAAACCTAAATTTAAAAATTGGCAGCCATGATGCAGAACACAGCTCTGCTTCGTAGCTGTGTCAAAATGTGTTGTGTTGTGTTGTGTCGTAACAGGAAAGCACGTATAGCGGTACTGTGTTGCATTGTCAACTGTGTCGCTTGCTGCTCCCTCTATGGACATTGAACTACGTAACCAATGTCCATGATTCGTAGGTAATGTCCGATTGCGTAGTTCTCATTCGTGCTATGTCCACGATTTTGTGGTTTTATTCCGTGCTATATGCAGGGGTGACAGTTGGTTAGATAAAGAGGGACGTCAATCTCTATTCGTTCTTGTCTCACAAAATCGGAAATGTGTCGTATTGATCATTTATCACAATTCTCAACAAATCTCGTTAGTTATAGCAAACTTCTATGCTATAATTTCTCTTGCGTTTTTAAAAACTGATCAATTTGTAGAGGCCCTCCACCACCCCTGCCAATTTCACTTCTTGGCAGTCCTCTTTTCTTTATATGCCTATTTTAAATTTTCTTATATTTATTATTTTTTATACAATATAAAAAAAAATTATTACAATATAAAATATAATTTAACAATATTCAATAAAAATATAATAAAAATACAAAAGTTTAATATGAAAGAAACATCATACACGATACGATAATATAATACAACATAATATATCATAATATAATACAATAATACAATTTGTATTGTTCGGTAACAAAAATTGTTATTATTTAGTCGGAATATTTTATCGAATAAAATTTGAATTTGTGAAGGCCCTTCACCACCCCCACCAGTTTTAATTGGCAGTCCTCCTTTTTACACGCATGTTTTAATTTATTTTAATATTTATTAATTATATACAATTAACAATTTTAGTATCAAACAATACAATACAAAGTTACAAAGTTATACATTTTTAATGCATTATTTGCAATTAAAGAAATCAATACAATAAACCGAGAATATATTTAAAGAACAGAATATAATAGATAGATTTATATATATATATATATAT